AAAAAAAAGACAAGAGAAGGTAAAATAAAGGAAAGGAGACCATTAGACTGCTTTAAAGGACACTAAAGTCTAATAATAAGTTACATCAGAGTTAAACTTTAACGTATGACAACATTTAAAACGACAATATTATAAACAATAGCGCCCTGCTTACCGAGAAACTAAAGTAAATGCACATGAACACATGCGCTGCATTACGACATTCTGAAAATGATCCCGACGATATCAGACGCACCGCCTACAATTAATATCACTAGTAGTCGATCCAGCTGCACTAAATAAAGAACCTTCCGTGCATCAAGAGACGCAATAAAATGCTGCTCGTTCGTTTCTGTTTGATTCATGGAAAGAAGAACCAACGGACGTTACTATGGGGAATGACGCGAGTGGTTCAAAAATTCAATTTTTTGCGTACTTACACCCGACATGTAATGCCATCTAGTGGGGTACAGTTGAACCAAAAGACGTCTCCAATTTCGAAGGCAACGGCGGGAAATTGATCAATGGCCGTTGTTGCTGCTGTAGCTCCCGCTGCTTTTGGTTTGCTCCTACTAGCGCAGTAAAGCCGGGCAATGTTGTGCACGGCAACAGTGACGTGGGTTGGTCCGGTCGGTCCGCTTCTTGCGGCGGGTAATATGAAGTGCGCTAACCCGATGTGCACAACTAAAACGTGATTTTAATTCAAAATAGGCCCTTCCTTGGCTCAAGAGTTACACTACGAGGTTTCTGGACCGCTATTTCAACAATCAACGTCGACTTAATATTTGCCTTTAGTGTCCCTTTAAAGTGTCTCTAAAATAAATTGTCAGCAAAAAAAAATGTAATAATGTTTTTAAAGCCGGACGACCTCGACCAGTGTACCAGAACTTTTCATTTCGACAAAAGGCGTTTATCTAGTTTGTTTGGTGCATTAGAAAGTTTTTGCCTCGGCGCACTGAAACGGTACAATAATCTGCCTTTTTCGCGATACCACTACGCATTCGCTTTCTCCCTAGCGGGAAAGTTGCAAGACACCTTTTTGTATCGGGGACTTTCACTCTAGCAAATTAAAAATGCTGGTTCTCCAGGCCCCTACAAAAAACCACAGCGTATCCACGGAGTGAATGATGATGAGAAGGCGAAGCGTCCGTCAGCCCGTGCGTGCTTCCGTCCGTCCGCGCGACCATAAGTAAAGCCTATAGCAGCACTATAGCAGTACGCTCGCGGTCCGTCACTCGGCTTCTTTTCACATTTCGCGGGCTTTCTTACAACGTGGAAAAAATAACAGCGCGAGACGTATCGTACAGGAAACAATTTAGTCAGTGGTTTCTGAAAGTGCTCTACATTTTAGCGTTCATATATTGGGTTTCCAGCCCATCATTTGAAAATAGGCAATTAAGAATTGTTAATTAACTAGTATGCGGAGAAAGAAAGAATAGCCTGAGTACTTACAGGCTAGTGCGAGTACTATGCGTTTGGTTCAATTCGCCACTGAAGTGTCTTTCATTTTCAAATTCTTGGCTGAAGTTATGTGGGACACCCTGTATATTGTCACGAACAAAACAAGACCCGCAGCCAGGAGTTCACTTGAACCAGAGCAACGAAGATGTTCTCTTCTTCTCGCCCAAAAACGCGTATGAGCCACTGTGGCTCGTTTATCAATGGTGGCATTACCCCCTCTCCCAAGAAGCATCGTCTCGATGCTGTACATGAAGGCAAAAAAAAAAGAAAAGAAAATTAAATGAAAATTAGCATGCGAGCAAAATGAATGGCGTAAGGCGGAATAACGTAGTTGGTTGTGGAGACAAAAGTTAGAGAAATAAGAAAAATAGGAAAAATGTAAGGAAAGGACGGAACAAAAAGAAAGACGCGAAGTTACTAATAAAGTCAGTCACTCTCTGGCGATTCACAGCGCGAAAAGTATGGTTTGAGACGTGAAACGTGAATGACTTCAGTTTGCGGGTTGAAACGGGAACGTCTCGAATTGCCTTGTGGGAGAACCTCGTAAGTGACGTCACTGAGACGTCGCACAACCTTGTAAGGGCCGAAGTAGCGGCGAAGAAGCTTTTCGGAACGTCCACGCTGTCGGATAGGGGTCCACACCCAGACTTCATCACCTGGCTTAAAAATTACTTCACGGTGGCGAAGATTCTAGCGGCGCGCGTCTGCGGTTTGGTGATCTCGATTGGTGGTGCCGAATAGTCGAAGGAGTACGTTGGCCCGTGAGATAGGCTTCAATTTCGCGGGGGCGCTCACCGTAGCGCGGGCATCGAGCATCAGGGTGGAAGCCGCGGAGACCTAGTTGCCGGTATTGACAGTTCCGGTATACGTGACCCGCTTCGCCACAGTGATAGCAGAGCGGACGGTTATCCGAGGTGCGCCACGTGCTTGCCTTGCTACCCCTTTGTCTTGAGATAGACGGCGGATAGGTGGGTGGGCTCGAAAACCTTGAGCCGAGAGGTGGGCTTGAAGCAGTGTCGTGAAATGGCTGCATAGCCTGGTACCTTGGCCGCATAGCAGTATCTGTAGCCGGTGGCGCAGGGGATCGCAATGCAGCTGCGTATGTCAGGACTGGGGCCTCGGGAATCGGCGGTGCGATTGGGGCTAGGGGTGTGACGGCCTGCCGGACTTCTTGTCAGATTACATCCGCGAGGGCTGACACGGGTGGATGGGATCCCACTGCCTGCAGCTGTCGCAATTCGTCCCGAACGATACTTCGAATGAAGTCTGCGAGGGTCTGTCTCTCGCTGTCAGAGCCGATAGAGCATGTGGTGGCCGGGATCTGGCGTTCGTATTGTGACGACCGCTGCTGCAGCGTACGTTCCATCGTAGCCGCCTCACTGGTGAACTGGGCGACTGTCGTCGGTGGATTGCGCACGAGCCCAGCGAAAAGCCGTTCTTTTACTCCGCGCATTAAATGGCGCACCTTCTTTTCCTCAGGCATGGCAGGGTCCGCGCGCTTGAAGAGTCGAAGCATGTCCTCGACAAACATGGATACACGTTCGTTCGGCCGTTGGTTTCTGTTGGATATGGCTTGTTCGGCCCTCTCCTTCCTTTCGGTGTTGCGATAGGCGTCACGAAGCTGTCGGCTGAACTCTTGCCATGTTGCAAAGGAGCCCTCGTGGTTCTCGTACCACGTCTTCGCAGAATCCTCCAAGTAGAAATAAACTCGGCGCAGCTTGCGAACATCGTCCCATTCGTTGATATTGGCAACCCGTTCAAAGTGGTCTAGCCAGTCATCAACATCCTCGAAGATGTCTCCATGGAACGGCTTTGGTGTCTGTGGCACGTGGAGAACATGGGCGAGAAGCGAATCATGGCCATCGCTGGTTTGGACCGCCTGGCTTGTCATCGCAGTTGCCATCTTTCTGGGTGTCGATGCCAAGGGACCAAATTCAGGGGGTAACCCACGCAGGCGGCGGCTGATTCTTGCTCTGGGAGATGTAGCTGTCTCCACGATGGCCGACACAGCCGAAGTACACGTACCCAGCGTCTCCACCAGTAATGTCACGAACAAAACAAGACCCGCAGCCAGGAGTTCACTTGAACCAGAGCAACGAAGATGTTCTCTTCTTCTTCGCGCCCAAAAACGCGTATGAGCCACTGTGGCTCGTTTATCAATGGTGGCAATATGTAACCATACACCAACCAAATAAAGCTGCAGTCTCAAATATCCTGCGCCGCTGAGCTGCGCTCACGAGGCGCGCTTAGGGCCGTTCCACGCGCTTCCCGCACAGCCGCAATGCACGTGCCGCGACCCCTACCGCACGCCAGCGGTGGATAAATAAGCCAATTGGCGACGCTCTTTCACCCTCCCCAGCGTCGCCAATTGGCTTATTTGTCCCCCGCTTGGGCGCGGTAGGGGGTCCCGGCACGTGCGTTGCGGCTGTGCGGGAAGCGCGTGAAACGGCCCTTACGTACCACAGGCGATTCGGAGGCCGCGTCGTCAGCTCCCTGTCTAGGGGCCTTCGCGGTAGGTTTTGGGACGGCACCCCACCTGGTGTAAGTCACCCACGTCTTTAGCCTGCGTGCAATTAATGGCTGAAGTACAGGCGAGACGCTGAAACACGGTTAAAAGCTTACCGAAAAGTGGAGCGTAGGGCTGATATAGCTGTCAGCGAAGTGTTTGCTGCACACGGTCGATTAAGGCGCGGGGCATTTTGCCTCTTCGAGTTTGACTATCCACTTTTTCCTCAGCTTCGGATTATTGTGATAGTTGTGAAAGCTAACACCCTTCTCATGGGTGGGTTATCATGTAGAGGCGCAGATGAGCACTCCCTCGTTGCGCAGCGCTCGCTGCGACCGCAGTTTTGAGAAACGAAGCACCGTGCTTTTAAAATGAGCGTTCAAACCCACGGTTTTCAGAACAGCGGCGGTAGCCATCACAAACAAGATAATCAATTGATTTGCATCTTTGCCAAGTTTCACCACCACGGTGTTTTCTATATACGGTGCCGCGCCGCTTATCATGACCCTGCCTCCGCACCATGGCTCCGCTGGGGACGCACAAGCGGCCATTTAGGAAGTTTTAGTGCTGACGTCATCACAACTGGAGAGACTGCTGCATGAAGTCACAAACAATTAGTACTGTATGACGGCAAGCTAGGGTCGATATCGGTAGGTGAGTAACAAGAAAATTGACTTTAATATAAAAAATACCTTAGCAGCGTTCGCTGAGCCTCACACTTGCTTAGAGCCATCTCTGTATGCAGGAGACTTGTCCCCGTCATCACCCTTCGTCCCTCTTTTGTTTTCCTTCCCTCATCTCCTGCGTAGAGAAGCAGGCTAGAGCGAACTAGTTGAGGCTGACCCCTCAGCTTTCTAATAATTTCCCACTTTCTCTTTTGTATAGCAATGAAACACACCACCGAAAAAAAAGGTCTCAGTAACCCTTTAAGGCCTGCCCTACCTCTTGTACATAGTCCCAATAAATCTTATTCACCAAAACCATTTTCAACATTCACGTCTTCTGAAGTTTCTCGGTACAAAATAAACATTTGACTATGCATGGAATGACTCACCCGTTGGCAGCGGTGACGCGGGCAGAGGCGGTGCGGGTGACGACGGCGGCGAGTCGCAGTGACGCCCCACTGGCCAGCTGATCCTCCCCGGGTGGTTGCGCGGAGGCAGAGGAGGTGCCGGACGGGGCACCTCGGTGTCGTCGTACGCGACGTCCTCGTCCAGCGGTCTGTCGAACACGCTCAAGCGCGATGACACCCAGCTGTCGATCGTTTTGCGGCGCACGGCCTGCACGCACAAAGGATATCTTATTAGGGACGAAGCTCCGCAGGAACCAGCCTTGTCCCCTGTAATGGTCGTTGCGCCCTTCCCTCCCACACACACAGGTTCTACAACAATAGACTTTCAACGTAGACATGGTTAATTATAAAGGTAAGAGATCACCAACGAAAGTAACCTTTCTAGAAGATTACTGATGATCTTATCTCTGCTAAAATGGGATAGATGTTGAGGCTTCCGAAGGAAACTTGTAACACAAAGGCACACGTCAAGCACTATGTGTCCTAACAAATTACTCATCCCATAAAACGGTGCCTTGCCACTTTGGATTCATTTTCGAAGCATATCCTCCACTGTAGAAATTTTCTGAAAGGAGATATACATTTACGTTACATCTCACTCGATGCACATGATACAGGGCAACTCTCAGGTAACGTGCAGTTACCTATACGATACCCAGAGCTTAATCGTCCACTCGTCATGATGAACTTCGAGTAGATGCGTGAATTTTTCGTTTTATTTTCTTTAAAAACACCTAAAGCTTGAAGCTTATCGTATTCGTATCTTACTCAGAAAGAGCACTAACAGCTAAAGGTCATACTACCCGACTCTTACTCCTTTGCATGTTCGGCATGCATGCACATGGTTTTGCTGCGAGCTATAAAGCATCCAAAGATTTGAATGAAACATACATGTGCATAACTTCAATGGCAAATAAAGCAATACGAGTAGTCAATATAATGCCACGAAGTCGAGACGTGAACGACGGGAGCAGACTGTATGCGTAAGATGAAACTCAATTTGGCCGGACTTGTGGCCGATAACCGGAACCTCAGATTACAGCGATACACGCTGGCACTGATAGCGGCGGACAGAGCGCCGGCATTTATACATGTGCCGTCGAATATTCCAGCGTTATCGCTTCGCCAACGTAAGTTCCAGAATAATCTGTAATGTTCGCGTTGCGTGCGTAATCTTAAAAAGATGATTTACTACAGATCCGAGGCTTCTCTAACTCTGCAGGCACGGTTTGCGCTGAACATATACTTACAATGTAACGGAGCGACCGCGAAACCTCATGAAGGAATGTGGCAATAGAAGCAATTCATGAAAATATGCGCGAGGGACTTCATAATAATTATTAGCTAGAACACAAAACAACAAAAGGAATTCAAGAAACTGCCAGGCCCGTGCGGAGGGCGCAGCACAGTCACCGCGAAATCTGGAAGAGCGGCCTTTCAGAGCCTTTCTTTGTACGGTCTTCGGGTAACTGCTACTAGCATACTTGCACTCCAATCCATACTCACCTTCGGAATTACCATGAGCCTTACATCGGCTTACGTTTAACACTCAGGTCTATTCATGTATATCAATGTGCTAGATTTCATGCGCCACCTTAGTATGTATTGATAAGAGGCGTGAGTTATGAAGAGGGGGCTGCCATAACCTCGTGTAAACTCTTTCACGGGTTCGTGTCCAATCAAATCACTTTATTCAGAGCCCAGAGAATCGTCGGGATGGGCCTGTTCCCCGCCTGGGCTTCGGCCAAGGGTTGCTGGCTCTTGGCGGCTTCCTCGGCTCGCGAGACGGTTGTTGCTTCATCGCCGGGCTGAGCAACGCTGAGTCCCAGGGCGCGCGGAAGCTGCCGCTGCTTAAGGCTGCGTCAGCGCTGTTGTTTACTATGCCTGGACATTCGCGTAGCGTGCGTTATAAAGTGGCTTTAGAGTCGCAGTGTCTGCACTCAGTGCCTGTCCTGTGTAAATCTGGGTGTATTAGGTGCATGATAGCTGGACTCGGGAAGGATCGGGTTTGTAACTGCCGCCATTCGACAGCACGGGAATTTCTTGAGAAAGTTATTTCGCGTGAGTTGCGTATACTTCAGAAAAATGTCCTTACTGAATTGAAACCACTGATGCACCGTATATGAAGGTACAGGAGCAAATGGCGTACTGTGACAGCATGATTATCTGATATATTGGCGTTAGAGGGCAATGGCACCATGATCTAAAAGGCTAATCGTATGTCGCTGCACTGATGAGCCGACTAATTCAGGCTCACTTAGACTCAGGTCAACCCGTAAGTCTGGGTGAGTCCAGCTGACTAATATGTTCGGGTGTTTATTTCCGAGCGAGTTCAGTTTTAGTGAGTTTGAGTGAGTTCAGTTAAATCGAATTTTGGTATCTGAATCCGAGCAAGCCCTCAGAAAAAAAAAAAACAATATTTTTTTAGTGAGTTTGAGTGAGCTAAAATTTTAAGGCGAAAGGTTTGAATGGCTCCTACTCGCCTCCGTCCGTCCGTCCGTGCCCTGGAACGGTGCTAGCTGAGGCCTCTCTCCCTCACACTCTCTCAGCAATAACGTTACGGCACAGCAGCGTGTTCTTTTTTCCCGACCCACGCTCGGGACGGCTCACCTGGTCGAGGATGATGCGGCGCCTCTCGAGTTCCAGCTGCTGCTGCTCGAACTGGTCCAGGCCAAGGTCGTCATCCATGGCGTGGCTGCTCCGCTGGCCCAGCAGCGTACGCACGCGGCGCCACAGGCCCGCCCTGGCGCTGCTGTGGTGGGAGCCGGGCGTCGCGTGCCGCCGCCGATGGTGAGGCAGCTGCTGACGCCGAGTGAAGCGCGGCTGCTCCAGACTCGTCGCGGGCGGCCGCAAACCTCTCAGAACGAGGCAGCCCTGCGATGTCGGGAATGCGCGTTATGGGGGAACACGAGGGCTGTGGAGACTTAACGGTGCACTCGCACGATTTCGAGACATCGCAAAAGTTGGTTAGGAAAAAAAACTGGGCCTTAGCCATCCTTCCGTGGGGCTTTCTCAAAAATATTTACGGTATCTTGCTTTGTCGCGGTAACAATTTTTGCCATCTCGTGATTGTGCACGTGCTGGCGCCACCGACCAACGATATTGGGTCCAAAGTTAGGTATGTTCACGTTAAAGAATTACTAGGCGGTGGATGCTGTCCCATTTTCGGTCCTATGACGGCGCTGTAGCTACGCGGCGTCAAACAGCAATACGCACAGTCGATCGATCATTATTACCTTTCTTTTATGTTGCAACTCAATTGGCATTAAAACAAGGAAGTGTGAATTTAAGGGCTCGTTTTTCTTTGTTTGACACAATATTAATGAGAACATACGATGATGCCGAAGAAAGCTACCACTGCTGTAGCTCAATTGGCAGAATTTCAGACGCCTTATTGGAAAGGTCGCAGATGCGGTCCCTGCTAGCGGCAAGTTGTCTTTTCGTCCACCTTTCTTTCTTCCCGTTTGCATGAAAATCACTACTACTAACATCCTCTATTCTTAGCAATATTGTCTGTTTGTTCTTGTGAATTGACTTTGGTAATATATTGAACGATGACTACTTTTCTCATGTAATGAGTGATTGCAGCCTTCCTGTCGGTCTGGTTTCGTTTTAATTCAGGGTTCCCCTGTTTCACCGCTAGCCCGCAAGTAGCGGGATCGAGTCCCGGCCACGGTGGCGGCCCGTGTAGATTGAGGTGAATAACACAGGCTGGTTAAAATTTTTGGAGCCCTCCACTACGACGTCCCTCATGATCGCGTCGTGGTTTCGGGACGTGAAAGCCCAACAGTTATAGTTGGCTAGTTCTTTTCTTTTCTACCGTCTTCTGCTCCTTTTCGTTTGTTTGTTTGTTTGTTCTTGTAAGCAAAGCAATGTAGCCGGAAACACGTTGGCTACCTTATGTGCCGTTTGCGATTATTGTACTGCCCGACTGCATTGGTAACAATCACATTCATAACGTTAGCTCCACATTTTGATAGCCGCTGGTCAAATTACGATTGCATTTTTATGTCTGACATTGTACTGATGTAATTGCTGTTGTAACATTCACAATGTTGCACTGTTGCCTTACAACGCAATCCGTGACGGCCGTACTTATTTAAACAGTCCTTACAGACCTAGTTGGAGCTAATCATTGGGAAGGGGGGCATAAAAAAATATGTGATCACACCCGGTCAATACATATCATACAGGATGAGGAGGCTATGATCAAGTATAGGATGAGGTACGCACATAGCTTCACAAACACAGTAAGATACTGGCTAAGAAAAAAGCAGCGAAAGGTAGTTCGACGTATATGCTATTATGGCCGACAGTGTTGTGAGTAAGAATAATTGTTTGCGTCCACCATTGTTCGGTCCGGTGCAAGTTGGTCGGCGCCCATGTCGTGCTTGACCGATCGTCCTCGTCTCGGCGCCAGAAATCCCTCCAGCTATGGAAACTAGATCCCGCCCCGTCCTTCGGCACGATCAGCTCTCAGCTTGGTTACAGTGCGCAACCCTGCGCGCCGGTAATTGGAGCTTTCCAAATTAGCTGGCATGCAGCGACTGCCGCTCTATCACGGTATTGTCTCCTCCAAACGGCGCTGTCAAATGTGGGCCGGCTAAGTAAACAAGGATGCCTAATAGGTATACCTGTTCAGAAGAGTGGCTTGCGAGGGCGGGGTCAGCATTGCTTAGCACAAAGAACATGAACACCGGAAGAACCATACGGACACAGCGCAAACTATTAACCTAGTTTAATTGAAAAATGCACACACAACTATTTGTGCAGAAATCAATTAGTCAAAATTTAAACGGAAACAAACAAGATTTGATTTATTGGCTGGCGCTCAAGAAATCTATTTCACTGACATGCAGCGTGATATTTCTCATCAGATCTTCTAATAAAAACGTCAAGCCTGCGCGAAACGCACATCACAGGAAAAGCTCGAAAAGGGGCCTTTCGAAGCCTTTTCTTAATACTCTTTAAGTAACTGCTACAATAACACTTGCTGGGTACCCACTGTGCCAAAAATAATCCCGATTTTCGTGTAGTAGGCTGGCATTCACTATATATGCCATCCTTCACCGTTCTTCGTATACAAGCGTGGTATCCACTACACACTTGCTAGGAATATTGTGCGATACTTTTACGCAGTAGTTAGGCCTGAAAGGGTATGCGCCACTGTTGATAGGTGAACAACAACAAGCTCAGTTGTACCCCGACCCACTCTTTGCGCATTTGTGATTGTGTTACGCCTGGTTGTCCCTCTGATGTTCTAAAACGCTGTATTACTCATATATTAGCGCGATTCCTTTCACGACGTCAAGCCTGCCCAATGCCAGTTCTGAAATGAGTTTCAAGCGCTGGTGCCGCCCAGTGGTAGAATGCCGGGATGGCACGCAGCGGACCCGGGTTCGAATACCACAGTGTCTATTACTGATTTCTTTTATTATTCCTAGCAATATCGGTTACGGCCACCGGCGGCGGCGGCGGACAACTATGGCGCCGCAAATGACCTGCGCTCCGATCTCATAACAGATTTCGCTGTAAAACGCCGAATTCAGTTTGACTTCTCGCGCAACTTTCTCATTTATTATTGAAGTCCCTTATAGCACCTGTCTGCATGCATGGGCGCACAGCCATGCCCTTGCTGTCCGTACAGGTGTGCGAACAATGAATTTTTATAATCGAATCGAATAATTTCCTAATAGTAAGGGCACATTCAAAGCAGCCATATACAAGTAACGTGACAATACGCAAAATATCTCAAGAATTCCACAATATTTCATTGGCAACAAATATCTACGAGCTCTAACATAAGACACATTACGTTTAAGTGACAAACAAATACTATAATTATTTATACTTCGCAGCAACCATGGAGCTTTCAGAATATTTCGTAACTGCAGGCTGATATATAGTATACAGCATGCCAAGTGCTAATTTGCTAATTTGTTAGCAGCTCATCATGAATATCATATGCAGATTCGGAATAGCTTCGGCAATTTCTGACACGGTTGCTTCGTCGACGCTGGTGTTTTAATATACAAAATGCTTTCATTCTGTTCCATATCGCGTCCATAGTACTGCAAGTATACGGGCTGCACGCACTTGGTCGACTCGACTAAGAACGAAAAACGAAATGGCAGATCCCACGTACAGTGGAAATCAATGATATGCGAAGCACGAATGAGGAAGGTTGAATTGTCACGTTAAAATCAGCGCAACATTACGAGGCGGACGTAAATTATGCCGTGCATGACTTCCATGTCATGATTATCATATTTGCATCTGGCATTTGTGCCCGTCGTCCATTCAAGTCACGTAATACCAAATTTGGTATATCTGAAGCTAGCGAAACGGCTGCAAGCGCGCTATGGACGTAGCATGTAGTCATGTTTTACGTGACACGCATGTCATGATCATCATGTTTGGACGTGTCAGTTATCTTTGTCGTCTATTGACGTCACGGAATACCAAATTTTGTATATGTCGAGCTAGTGAAACGGCCGCGAGTGCATCATGAGCGTGGTATGTAGCCATGTTCTTACATGACGCACATGTAATAATTACGGTGTTCACCAATCATATACATTCGTCCTCTATTCACGTCACAAAATACCAAATTTGATATATGTCCATGGGGTATAGGTTTTTTTTTTTTTGTCGTTTACTGCTTAAACGGCGCTTCACCATAGGTATAACGTGAGAAATTTTACTTAGACGATGGAACTTATTTGTTGCGCGCCCAATGAAAATCTTTGCACCACTCGAACTTTTAATTGGTTGATAACAAGTATTGAATGCACGGTGAGCTTGAAAACCTTGCCACTCGCCCGCTGTAGATTTCGAAATTGAAATTCTTAGCCTGCTTTGTTCGGTATCGCAGCAACTCGGAAGATGACACGACGCTGGCGCACCAACACGTCATGCGCAAGAGGCTGGCACGGATCGTGTGTCGTTACCACGAAACACGACGTCGCACCGCCGGGGCGATGCACCAAAAACGCGGCAAGCGTTGTGGCGCATTGCGAGAACGGCGAAAACGCTGACGAAAGGGAGGCAGCTCAGTCTCGCACGTCGTTCGATCCGAAGTTAAAAAAAAAGATAACGCGCATAGATACCGTTTGTATGCCTCCATACTTCTATTCAGGCAACTAATTGCACAAATTACACACGTCGCTTTGAATAATGCTCGCAGTGTGACGCACAGCTTTGACGTACGCAGGACCATTCCTTGTCACCACGCATGTCGCGGCGCGCGCCCGTGAGGTGAAGGTCAAGCGGCGTTCAGTCCGACGATAGTTATAGCGCGAGAACAAAACGACGACACAGAGACAAGAAGGACACGAAAGTCTCTGTGTCGTCGTTTTGTTCTCGCGCTATAACTATCGTCATGCCATACCAACTAGCCCAAGCTGCCACACTTCTCAGTCCGACGTTTCACCTCTTTCCGGGGGCATCGCAAATCTCGGCAGATGAAACAGCAAGCGCCAAGTGCACGCATTTCGATTGCCTGCTCGAAATCCTCAAAGCTGGCTAAGGGCCCTTTAAGGTGCTCACGGATTAATTGATATGTGGGGTTTAACGTCCCGAAACCGCCATATGATTATGAGAGACGCCGTAGTGGAGGGCTCCGGAAATTTAGACCACCTGGGGTTCTTTAACGTGCACCCAAATCTGAGCACACGGGCCTACAACATTTCCGCCTCCATCGGAAATGCAGCCGCCGCAGCCGGGATTCGAACCCGCACCCTGCGGGTTAGCAGCCGAGTACCTTAGCCACTAGACCACCGCGGCGGGGCGAAGAGAAAGAGAGTGAGGAGCGTGTTTATTCGATGGACACTTAACTAACCATGCTGGAGAGCATATTCTGCAAATCCTGCGGGAAAAAAAATGAATGGGTATATGCTAAACCATTGGCTCCTTTGTACCATCATAAACTAAAACATTTCTTATTTCGAGACGGCACTCATCTTGAGTCCTTCCTTTACTTCGTCATCGTTTTTTGCGTTTACCTCGACTAGCTATGAATTGTTACCAACTTGCCCAGTTTTCAATACTACTGTCTGCATTTCTGTCTGCTTTCCAGTCGTAGACATAGATCGAACACCTGTTTTTCCAAAAACTTGAATTTTGTCTAAATTTATTAAGACGGTTTCAGGGGCCTAAAACAGTGTTCTGCTCGCCTATTCTTGGCGCCTAAAACACTGCTTTTTAGTGCCCATAAATCCGCCCTCTATTCATCACAATGAGTGTGTAGTTTAATGACAGTCGTAATACATCATCATCAACAACATGCAGCATCAACACGTAATACCTTACATGTGATTAGCGGGTACCTCGCTTATCCGCAGAAACACAAAAATTATGGCACAGTTGATACCTTGAGTGAAGCGAAACTTCAAGACGAGGTCGAGATTCACATATATAAGCAGCATCGTCGGTTATTTTTATAAGCCCTTCATTTTAAATTACATCATCCGACAGTATACTGTTTGCCGGTCCTATATAGCCTCTTTAGCAGAGCGGTGAGGCCCGTCATCCGGAGCACACGAGCGGCTGTCGGACACTTTAGAACAACCGCAACGCTGCACCGCGAAAAGCAGGTCTCAAAGTATGCGGAAGTGCGAGCAACCACCGCCTTCGAAGTAAATTCCGCAGAATCGAGCGAGCCCTTCTTGTCGTAGTCGACGCACCGCTTATCACTGACTCCATGGGGTGCGTATATAGTTTATACCATTACAGCCGGTGGCCTCCTTCCTGTCCGCCATCCGAGCTTGAAGATTGTTTCAATGCGTTATCAACAAGGTCGAACGTATAGCCTTACGAAATGCAGCTTTTGAATGGACACTAAAGAGAAACAGTGACGGTTTAGATGGTTCAACTGCACTCTCAGAACTCTAAGGCCATAAATTCCTTTATAATAAGTTCATTATTAGTTATTATTAGTTGATCAAATCAAGACGTACGAAATTTCAAAATACAATTTTCGTATTTTTGCAACATTTACTCAATGAAATTTTCTGAAACTTCGTATGCTATGTCTGTGGCACCCACAGAGGACAATGTACTTCAATTTTATCGATTAGAAGCTACAAAGGACTCAGTAGACGCCTTCAAAATTTATGACGTCACACTGCTTGGTGCGAGAATTTTAAGATGGTGCCTGCACCGGCATTTTCTTTTCGAGCGTTGTCGCACTTACGAAGTGTTGTGTCGTGGTAAGAGTGGTGTTTTCGTGATGGTGAAATCTAACTTTACTAATACGAGGGAAAGCGTATTGCTCCTTGAAGTACCTTAAGCATTTTGACTCTCCCTTGTCGGCCTCCGGCAGTACACAGTGCGTAGGTGGTTGACACCTATCGCATGCATGGATATGGCAGCTAAACACTCCTTTACCCCAATCCAATCAGAGATGACCCTGCTCGGCTGCCAGGACCTTCCGGCCCAACATGGTCCGGCGTGTCAGGACAGCGACAACCACACCTTGACAAGGGACTCTTAATGTAAGGGAGTTTACCCCCAGAGGTTGGTTTCCCTAACAACTTATCTATGTTTTACTTCACTTTTTAATTTGCCGTACTCTCAAATCCAAAGCATTACAGCGGAGAGTGGTAACAAACAGCGTTATAATAAATAATGAACAACAAAAATACATCAACGAAAACTCAGTTAAAGCTGTCCAAAACGTTGATTATATGTAATGTCCGCGACGGTGAGA